TGTACTGGATTAGCAATACAGGATATGCAGGGGCTCCAAGTTAATGTTTGCACTTCCTGACTTTTTGCTTTTTCAACAAAATGAACAATGCTGTATTGAAGCTGTTCTGGCATTAGCAAAATTATTGTGCTGAATTAGATTTCCCTATTTTATAATTTTATGCTCTCAAATGTAGAAAACTAGCAAATCCAAACACAAATGAAACTCTTTCCCCTGTCCATTTAAACTTTCAGTCCTGAACTGGATCATTAGCTCTGTCACCATGCTTAATACATTTGGCTTTGAACCTGTAGTCTAGAGGAAATTTCTGTTTTTTCAGTGAACAGGATGGCATTCACCACTTGCTGAACTAATTCATGCAAAGTGAGCTTCAGATGAGCATTCATGCAAAATCATTAATTTGTCTGTAGTATAGTGTTAAAGTCATTTAAAGTCTTCTCTATGAAATATAATTGTAATATTTTGTCAGTTCGAGGTATCTAAAATGCTTCTTATATTTGTACTTAATTCCTTTAAAAATAAAATATTTCGGAAAGTTGAAATGAGTTGAGCAAACTAAATGGTAAATGACCTGTGGAGACATTTATAGAGGGAAAATGGGTCTCTGGAATCAGGCTTAGGAGACACTGTAGGCACTCCAGACAAAGTCTTTTTCTTTCCATGAAGATAGTACAGCTGCACAATAGTCCAAGGATCTGTCCCTCTGGAAGCACTCTGAAATGACATGTGTATATTAGAGCATGTATGCATGTGCATACACACAGGATTTCCATTCATGTTGAAATGTTTCCAGGACAAAAAATTAAGTTTGAAATGAATCATGGAACTTATAGAAATTTGAAATGATAAAATGGTGGAATGTTTATAGCTTATCATGCAGTTCTGCTATAGTGGCACAAATAATACTTAAAAAAAGAAAGGAAAGGGAAAAATGCATTTCTATGTAGACCCATCATAAATTGAAGTGGCTGCCTTCATTTTGCATGCTTCCTTCCAATTTGTGTGAAAGCCATCAAAGCACTGCCGTTTGTGGCATATTAGAGTCATTAGAGCTCTTAATAGTATGGATACCAGAAACAAAATGCCAGAGTTGTGAAATACTCCTATGGTGTAGTCTTGGAACATGCTCCATAGTAGCATCACATGACAATTCATAACCACACCCTAGCAAAATGTCAGAAGTTTGCAATATCAGACTTCCTCATCTGATGATGTTTGTGCTGTTATGGCACATACTGAAAAAAAATAATGGATTTTCCACATAAGGAGAAAAGTTGGGAGAAACAAGGAGAAAGCATGACAGGATCACAGGATGATGCCAATGTCATGAGGAAGCCTTGTAAAGTCCCAGGAAGAAGGCATACTTATAGTACTTCAAAATCCTCATATGGAAGCACTCTTTCTTCAGTTTTTACTACTCCAGTAATTTTTTAAAGCTTGGCAGTTTTAAGTGGATGCTGTAGGCTTTTATTTTTAATTTGGAATTTTACACTGAAATAGAAGTATGGATCATTAGGCTTTTAGCGAAAGCTTTATTAAGCCGAGTACATCGTTGTTAAATTTATATATCTTACTTGAAATTTTGATTGGCAAAGGCTGAATCTTTTGTTTAAGGTTATTTTTCAGTTTCCTCTGACATGGAAATGATATCCCTCATTGTGAATATATGAAATTTAATTCTAATGTATTGTTTCTATATTTTGTTTTTCACAAGCAATTTCAGGAAAGGGTCACACTATTGAAATGGGGAAAAGTATTACTATAACAAACTGGACTTGATGAGCCTTTCTGCATTGAAAATCTGGCATCTTAGATGAAATAAGTGTTTAACCAACAGTACCATTTTGCATAGTGCACCCAAATTGTTTTTTCAACCTATGCTGTAGTGTGCAAGGGAATGATTGTGTTGTGATACATTTTCTTTTCCTCATCGTATGTAATGCTATACATTTTGTTGCCTTCAAATTCAATATGTTTAAGAGCAGATTTTATATCTAATAGTGGCATAAAGCTAGAGGAAGAGCAGTCAGAAAGTGTTGAAATTGGGCCCCTACAGTTGTGGCAGATGTACTTTGAGGAAGTTAATTGCTAAATGTGGTAGAGCCTAACGGAGTTAAAAAGCGGGTGGGGGAATCAGGCTAACAGCTTGACATAAAAATTTTGTGAGCACAAAATTTGTAGTGAAGCAACTGAATCTTCCAGAGATATAAATTTGAGAACCATGTAAAATCTACATTTCCTGGTAGTTGACTTTCTTCCGAGCCCTGCCACCAGCTACTCGTATGCTGTATGCGGTTTTTCAGATGGGAAGAACATATAAAAGGAATCTTTCATCTTTCCTGCACTAGCAATCTTCTTTTTCTTGCTTTATTTTCCTCAGAAAGGTAATTGTAGATCTAATACAGCTTTCTAAGACTATGCAAGTAATTTAAAGATTTAATCTGTGACAGTCAAATGTTAATATTATAATAGTCTTGTTTCAGTGTTGATTTTAACACTTGATTTTAGTGGTATGACTGTTGTGGTATGTTTTGTGTTCTCTGCTATAAGAAAAGTTTTGCATGAGTAAAGTCAGTTTTTTAACCCTAACATTTATCTGAATTACATAGCATAGAGGTTAGTAAAATAAGCTTTAGGCTACAAAGCATTTTATTCACATTTCAGCTCAACCATGATTAGTATCCCATCTCTATTATTATCAGTAGGATAATGGTACTCTCTGAGAAACAGTTTGAGAATGTTATTTTTTCTAAATAGCTGTATTATATTGTAGCAAGAGTAGTGTTTGTATAAGTCAGTGGGAAGAATTGTACTCAGTATAAAATAGGTAAGTTTCTTTACGTTTTTCTGGGGGTTTTCAGGTGTTATATTGTGTCTTAATAGGTATGTTTCTGTGCCTTCTTGCATGTTTTGAATGAGGGATTGCACCAGTCATTTATCACTGGGTCTGTCCTAGTTGGTTGTGTAGCAGTTAGAGTGTCAGATTAGAATTGTGGAGACCCATTTCAAACCTACACTTGGCCACAAAACTCAGTGGGTGATCTTGGGCCAGTCTTATCCATCAGCCCAGTCTATCCAACAAGAATGTTGTAAGAGAAATGGAAGGAGGAGGAACTGCTTGAAGATAAGGTGGAATATAAGTGTAGTGTGTAAATAATATATATTCTGAATAAAATAAATTGCACCAATGCAAGTAACCACTAGATGTCACAAGTATTACAGGAGCCTGAGAGGTTACTAAGGGCCTGGTGGAAATTCAATGTATCATTGAACTTCACATAGTTCACTGTTTCCACATGGTAGATGCCAAAAGAATCTGATACAGTGTGATATAGAAGCAAGGTACAACTGGAATAATGAAATTTCAAAAAATAAGCCTTTTTAAAGGGCTGGTTCTAATAGTACTATTGGGCATTGTAAATGCTTCAGGTGCACTTGATACTCCTTTTACGTTCCTGGCTTTTGGTTGTGTTTTTATGGAAAGATGGATTGAACTTCAATTTAAGAATATTCGGTAATCCCTCTCAGGACATACTATAACAGCTGGTATTTCTGTGTTGCAGCAAATCGATTCCATGCAACAGTCAGTAGTACTTATAGCTGGATTCTGATACAAAATTACAAAGCATTTTGAAACAAATTTAGCCAAAGCAAATATCATTGAAAAATGTAACTTAATTTACAAGTTTTGGGGAGAAGAATCTTGTTTCATTCCAACAAAATATTAATCTTTTTACTGGTAAGAATTTCACCAGGTCATTTATTTTCACTAATATATACATAGAGATTCTGGAGGGAATAACTTCATACCACACAACTCTTTAAAATAAGGGATTTTGAAAGTTAATATTGAGGAATTTAACCACCGTAAAGAGAAATCAGAAAAGACATCAACATTTTCAATGCATAAATATTTTCTGGATTAATAGGACTTTGGTCTTTCAGTTTAAATAACTGTGATCTTAATGAATATATGGGTTGCAATATTACTAATTAATATAAATAATATGCTTTTGCATGACATCAAAGATCCAAGCTATAAAACTAAAGCTGATGAACATTCTTAAGAGAAATAAAAAAGCTGCTTGGCAACAGTACTGGTTTGATTCTGCAATGACTGTGACTTGTATGTCCAAGTTTTAAAATATATTTCCTGGCATTGATATTTGCATGTTACACTTGCACCAGGACAAACTGAATTGGTGCTTTGCATAACTTGTACAGTGTGTCCTTGGCCTGCTCACAAGTGACTTAAAAATTAATCTGTTAACTTGTATGTAAATACTCTGCTTTCTTCTGTTTCAAGGCTGACTGAATGGAGGGCTGCATAAGACATAAAAGTCATAATCCAATAGGTTGATAGACTTAAAAATCTACAGATAGAGCTTGTGTGTATATTAAATATTCAGCAATCAGATTCTCAGATTTTATAAATGTCTCAAGTGAAACACTTCTGACTTGCATACCAGATAACTCATTTATAAAATGTTCTAACAATTTTAGAGATTGTTAGAAAGTCCTGTTAAGACACTGAAGCTAAATATTTTGAAAGGCCCCAAACCATGCCTTAGAATGTGCTTGAAAATAAGCTGCAAGGAAACAGTATATAAATTATAATTTTTAATAGTTTTTGAAGAATGCTTTCATGTGTGATTACTTGCAGGGTGAAAATATATTACTCTACTGCCTTTCATAGTAATGACAAACAAGAATGTCTAGAAACTATAGAAACTTTAAACACTTGTAGGTTAATATAATTAAGAGTAAAACATAGAACTATATATCCAAGAAAGAGGCTAAAATCACTCTTAACTGTATTACATTTCTTCATAGCAATGTGAAAATTAACTCAGTTTCTCCCTTATTCTCTTCACTTAAGGACACAGTTTCTAATTACAGTCTTAGTGTGTGTAGTGGTGTGTGTGTGTGTGTGCTGGTTTTTTGTTACCATGTCATGTAAGTGTTTATAGTATAGCTTCAATTTCAGAACAATGACAATTCTACTGAGAGGTGGTGTTTTGGACATAAAAAGTGATCCTATAGTCCCTGGACAGCATCTGACCTGGGAGTGGAAATTTGCACTCCAGTACCCTTCCCCACCAGAGCTGGCACAGAAGAAATGTCCAGCTGCCTTTCTGAGGTCAGGAACTCAGCCATGGAGGGGAGGAGGCATTTCAGTGGGTGGGGAGAGGAGGTAACTGCAGAGACTATCTTGAATCCTCTTCAGCTTCCTTCCCTCCACTACCAAAGCACTCCGGCTAGATGAACAAAAATAGCCATCTAGTGAAAATACAGGGTATATGGTGTGGAGAGGCAGAGATGTGCTCTCTTGCTTCTCCTGTGCTACACATGATGCCCATATGCCTCCAAGTTCTGGAGCTTACAGGCACTGAATGTGCAACCCATAGGACTGTACCCTAAGCAGACTTCCAGAAGCAATTTTAACACTTTTAGTCTGGTAACATCCAAAGTGTACAACTGAGCTTCCGTATCCCTGAGGTCATTTCTAAGATTTGTAACCTGAAATACAGTGCAATGGATATGCACTTCATCCTTAGTTACGAATGGAGAATTTTAGAAACATGTTGCGAATACGGAAAGATATGTACTTTAGTAAGAGTGCTCAAACTACTGAACAGAACTTCTAAATCTTTAAACTAAATGTTTGGGGTTTTTGCACAGCAGTGCTCTGTCACATATGTCGAGCTGCTTTTGAAATGGTATGGAGTGTGAAAAGCAGTTTATGCCTGGGGTTAGGGAGTTGTCCATTCAATCTGAAACTCTACCAGTCTAAGCAGAAGGCCCTTGCAGGAGCTCAAGCAGTTGGTTGGATCCTGGCTTTAACTTACACAAAATGTGTATATGCATACAATCACTTGAATAAACATTAGATTAAAAGAAACAACATATGAATAATGCAAACAATGCAAAAACTCTGCAGTAACATCTTGTAGTAATTTAACTGATGAAATAGATTTCAGGTTGCTACATTTATTTTAAATCAGATTTATGACAAATTACAGTAACTTAAAATTTTAGTAATTTTCTTTATTTGTATTTATTTCTGTTCTTTTCAGGGCAGCATTGAAATTGCCTAAATCTTTGTAAAGAACATGGCTGCAAGTAGTTGAATTGGAACTTCTTACTACGTGCCTGTTGTCTGTCATTGTTGTAGTCAGCAAGCAAAACCATGCCAGCTTTATCAACTGGATCTGGAGGTGACACAGGTAGATAAGCTTGGAATTGTTAATTTTTTTACTTATTAGCATTAACTGATTATGTCGCTGCCTATACACTGCCCCAGTCTGTTTCTATGCGATAGTGTAGGTTGGGATGCAAATCCAAATAAACAATATTTGACATCCATATTTGGATGTGAATTCAGATGTCTATCCAAGTTATGTCTGCCATTTGTAATTTGGTGAGAGGTTAATCATGAAGAAGCAGGCTTGTGAATGTGACTCTCATTTGCTGTGTTGGAGTGTGAAGGTTTTAGCAGAATGGTTAAGGGGAGCAGACTAAACTCTATTGTAAATTAACAGATCACTGATAGTCTAATTCACTTGTAAGAAATATGGATGTGTGTTAAGTGCCATTTATTATCTGCAACAATACTTAAGTACAATTTTAAGTAGATGAGGGAAAAAACCTAAAGTTATGTTTACGAACACTTAGTTCTATCTCTGTGTCCTCCACAAGGGGTTAGAAAGAATATGCTTATCTTACCTAGAGCAAAGAGTTACCTAGAACATAGCAAATGTGTGTGCATATTCTAAGATCTGCGCCTGCTGGGACAGTGGAATTTAACATATCCAAATTTCTATTAATTTTAGAAAACCAGATTTTAATTCTCAGCTAAAGCTGAAGATTGTGCTTGGTAGGTTACTGTAGTACTGGCTTGGCAGTTAAAGCTTTGCACTTCCTTATAGATAGTGCTATCTCATATTCAAAATGCATAGAATCTTGAAAGAATGGATGAGTCTTCCTACGAGCTTTTGAAACAAGTGTTAGAAATTGTATTTGTGCCTAACCTGGAACAGCCCAGATTTTCTGTACACATCTGACCAATATAAAGCTCATTAAGGGTGCAGTCCTTAATACTGGGTGGGAAGTGCAGGGAGTTGTAAGATGCTTTTCTTTTTAATCATAGCATTGTGCTGTAAGATGTTATAGTTGTATTTCGTTTGAGATAATTTGAGATTAGGCTTCAAGGAAGGTTAATATTAATTTGGGTTAAGAAAGTTTGACTCTTCTGGAAATCCTTACGGTGTTTACTGTACTGCTCCAAAGCTGCTGTTAGCTTAACAATGTTGGCCAGGTATCTAACAGCCTAATTTTAAAAACAAAATGTGGTAGAATATATATCTATAAAATGTTATGTCATTCATGTCTAAAGCAGTTGACAACAATCAGGATTATGTCAGTACAATGCCATCTATGGTTATTACTGTTAAATATTTTTACAGTCTTTTCCCATTACATTGAATGTGTAAGTATCTTAGTTCAAAATGCAACTAAATCAGTATTATTTACACAGGTAGACATTAAATATCTAAATGTATGCACCTACTAAAATGCCAATACAGTTAAAACTTCATTCAGGCATATTATAATGATCTTTACTATACTGTACAGCAGTAAATGTCAGAATTCAGGTAGTTTTGTTGGTTGATATTTAATTTTGTACAACAAATGTTGTCTGATCCTTTTATAGAACTGTAAAATATACTTTAATTGTGAAAAATGTAAGCCTGTTAGACATAATAATGAACAGTACTGTTTGTTCTCCCTTTGTCAAAGGAAAAACTTAAAGGTCGGTGTGTTCTGTTTTATTAATATGGTAAAATTTTACAGTGTTGTTCTGGGCTTAGCTATATGTTCTTATATGTTTATTACCCCTTAGTTACAGTTAAAAAGTCAAAGTCCTAGCTTGGCATTATGGTTTAAAATTCTGATGTAAATTATTTAACAAAAGGCAAATGTACATCCATTTGTCATAATATTTATTTAAAAAAACTCTGACATGATTAGTGCTTTCTTGTAATGTGTAAGAGTGATGGAACGCAGTGACCATATTTTTTTATCATTTAGCCCTACTTTATAGTTTCCACAGACTTGTTCTAATAATGAAGCTATGAAGGATATGACAAGAATGGTGATATTAAATTTCTCTAGACTAACAGTAAATTTTTCCACTCTGATGTCAAGAATGTTGAGCATCTGGACTCTGAGTGGTTTACCACGTGAGCACTTTGTCTAATTTTTTAGCCATTTATTCTTCTCCTAGGAACTAGCACTCATATGCTGAAAATAATAGTAACTGAAACTGTTCTCTAGAAATAGGGAGGGGAAACCCTGGCTGTTCATTTTCCATTATTTGGAAGAATTATTTTATTACACTTTTGGAACCCTTCTTTTAAAAAAAATCACTGATTTGGTAATATCTATGCATTCAATGAGATGAATAAAGTTCAAGAAAACACTTCTATGGATACACAGTAGACAGGGTTTACAAGTCTATGCTACAGTAATCAGGTTGGGGTTGGGGTTGGGTGGTTTAGGGTGTTTTAAGGTGATTTGCATTGCGAAACAACTTCTGTGAATAATCTACACTTTTGACACTTTGCATCCACTAATACTCTTCCTCTTCCAGAAGGCTTCTGAAGGTGGCTAAATGAGGCAGTGTTAGGGATGTTGAATTTATATAAATTCGAGTTCCAGATAAGGCAGATTTTTAGTAGCAGAAAAATATGTAATGGGTTTTAAACTACTTTTTTGTAGCTTAAAACTGCTAAATAAATAAAACTGTGGGCAGGTGTTTCAAATAAGAGCAGCTATTCATGCACAGTTGTGCCTTACCTGTGGAACAACCTCCCAAAAGCAGTTTGCCTGGCACCCTCATTGCAGTCTTTTTGGTACCAGGTGAAAACAGCTTTGCTTTCTATCTTGATAATATTAGTGATATTACTGTTTTAATCCATGCGGTTTTAAGTTATCCCTCAGCTATGTACTTTTGTTTTGTCTTTTGTTGTGTGTTTTAATTGACTGTATTGATATGGTGTGTTTTTATCTCACTGTAATCTGCTTAGAGTGTCCTCAGGTCAATATAACAGAATATAAGATAGACAGATTTTGAAAAATTAAGATGAAGCTTTACAATTTTATAGACCAATTACAGGTAATATAGTCTGGGAAATCCTTTTCTGCATCCTCTGGTGTCAGGAGATTTTCATCAGGCTTCTACAGTTAAACTTAAGCAAATACAGGTCTAAGGAAAAAAAAACCTTGTATTTTTTCATAATGGTCTGTTTCCCTCAATCCTAACTATAGAAACATGATCCTTCAAGAAAAAAATGAAAGATTACTAATTCAGTGTAAAATTTGACATGTCCAGATACTCATAACACTTTAGGCAGAATGTTCTGTAATTAACGTTCTAGCCTATGTTATGAACTTCAGCTACTCTGTTACCAGGTTATCTATGTGATCATGCAGTGGCAACTGTGATCCTCAAAGAAAAGGAATGTTGTCTGAAGCTCAAGATATATGTCAGGGCACAAAAATCTATGTTCTTTCCAATTGTGTAATATGAACTGATATTGAAAAATGGTGAGGCAGTGCTGCAGGAAGATAATAATCTAGATATTTTTAGCAGAACTTTGTTTAATGCAACAGACTATAGCATCAATCAGACTATAGTCTATAGTCTGTCTATAGCAACAGACTATTGCTGGAAATCCAAAGGCCAAGCTTCCATCTGGCCCTTCTTTGAGCTGGTGCAGAAGGAGCCTTGACTGGTACCTCTCCAAGGTCACAAATTGGCCTCAGAGGAAGAAAAGGGGCATGGCAGGGTGGCAGAGAGAGAAGGAGGCTGGGGCTGATGGCTTACCATGCATCCAGATGACACCCAAGCCTACCTGCCTCTGCACTGCTTCGTCCAGATAGCTAAAACAGCCATCTAGATGAACTGCAGTGTGTAAGGTATGGGACTAGCAGAGATCACTGCTGCAGAACCTTGCTTCACATGTTGTATGCATGTACAGTTTCTGAGTTCAGAGGCTTCTGTGCATTGAGGGCAGGGTTCACTGGGCCACACTGCCAATTTGTAGTTTAAGTAATAGGAGAGGGGGGAAATGCTTTGAATCTCCAAACTGGGAAAAATGTTGTTTGGATCCTATGCAACTAATGCATTACCAATCTCACAAACTAGCAAATTATAATATAATTTATAAATAAAAGCCAAATACAGTTGTGTAATTCAGAAATTAAATGCACAACAAATATACACAGAAGACTTGGTTTAGCATTGCTTGAAGCAAAAACTTTTGCTCTTAGAGATCAGATTCAAAAATACAATAATTCTTGCCAAACATGCTTGATTGTGCATTGTTTCCAACGGTCCATTCTAAGTTTTTGGGTAGTTTTCTATTCAACTTATTTTTTGTGGTAGCAGGGCATTCCAGGGAAACAGTCAAGCTTTTAGATTAAAGGTCTGCATCCAATACAGTGGGAAACCAGTACATGATAGCTACTGGCTTCATAAGGAATTTACTGTCTACTAATTGGTGCAGTGGTTTAAACCACTGTGCTGCTGGGCTGGTGATCAAAAGGTCTCTGGTTCGAATCTAAACAATGGGGTGAGTTCCCGTACTCTGTCCCAGGTCCTGCCAACCCTGTAGTTCGAAAGCATGCAAATGCAAGTAGATAAAAAGGTACCACTTCGGTGGGCAGGTAACAGCGTTCCATGCACTTCGGTGTTTAGTCATGCCGGCCACATGACCACGGAGACTGTCTGGGGACAGACGCTGGCTCCCTCGGCTAGGAAACGGAGATGAGCACCGCCCCCTAGAGTCAGGCATGACTGGACTTAATGTCAAGGGGAAACCTTTACCTTTACATTTACCTTAATTGATTCAACTTCAGATTGATGTGCAGGGTGATAGCTGGAAGATTTTTGGCTATTTGACTGTCTAGTCTCCTAAAAATGAAAATGCTCACTTAATAATTTGATATGCCCTTTACAGTTCTCAGTACCTGTTAATCTGAACTTCAGACTAGAGCTATGCATTGAAATTGGTGTGGATTATCAATTCAGGAGTTCATGAGAATAACATGAACACAAGTATCCTTTTTGGTTTTGAATACCATTGAATATCATTGGGTCATATAATCATTACTGGAAAAGAAATATCCTGTATGTAACACTTAGCTTTTCTCAAAGCATGAAGGATGTCATCTTGAAATGCAATGCTACTTGCTGGCTTGAAAGCATTGCCTATGTTCAAAGCATTGCTTTGCTTTTTATGTTGTAAATTTTGTAAATATTTTTAGTTGTGGACCCCTGTGGCTTTAGTAATGGCACATGAGAGACCACATTGCTTTATATTAATAAATGATATAGCAGCCTTGTAACTATTCAGTTGGCTGGGGAAACTAGCAGTTCCTTATGAGGTAATGGCTTGCCAGGCATCACTACTTGCTGCCTTATTACTTACGCGTTTCTACATTGGAAATAGATTTGTCAAATTGTGTAATTGTCACAAGGCTGACTGGAAAATCTGGAATTACACATGTCGTGAACTGAGGCAAAGATATCACTGTGTTACTAATAGTTGTCATGAATAAATTAGTGGTAGTAGTCCAGAGTAATTGCTGGATAAACATAATATCACTTAGCCAGTTTGTGCCAGAAGTCCTCAAACTGGTTTGCATCACTGAAGCTCTGGTTAAAACTCTAAATATACCACAAGCAATCTCCCATCTAAGATGTTTAACAGTTTAACAGTCCATGCTTAAAAACTTTTGAGCAGTCTATCACTACTTGGAGAGAAAATATCATATGATACTGCTCTTGTTGTCTCTGATTGGGAAAGAATGTTACTACTGAGGAGTATGCTTGTACTACAGATTTAAGCTATGTTTACAGGCCTTCAATTTTCCCTGCAAATCCATAGTGTTGTAGATCTATTAGTAGGAAGAGACATGATGTTAAATTAGTATTAGGCAGATATATATTTGTAGAGAATATTGGTGGCTTTCAAACTGCATTGCAGGGAACCACTTACTTCAGTGTTAACATCAGTAATGGCATCCACATTGGTGTATTGCCCAGCCTCAAGAAGGCACTGGGTATGTTATACAGCAAAATTGGACAGACTTCAAGTTGGTGGGAACTACTTTGTTTTGTTTTGCTTTTACTAAAAACCTGTAATTCACCAACTGGATTCAGGTGAAAAAGACATATGTTTAGAATTAAAGAATTCTCAGACCAGGAATTTGTTCTGAGTACTAGATTTGAAATGAGCTCACAGTCCTTCAGTGTACAAGTCCATTTCTGGTCCATCCATCTGTCCCTTCCCCACTCTGCTGTCTTCCTTTCAGTGGTATAATTTTGGGTAGGAATCTTGCTGTATTGCCATTGTTAATCAGTTGAGACTCAGAAATTGGTGTATGTTCAGAGCTTTTTATACTGAAGAAAAATTGTTTGGATTTCCCTTTCACCCCCTTTAATGCTCAAGAAATACTATAAACAAGGGTTAGTTTAAAATAATGCGAGATTTGAAATATGAACATTGCTTCCCAAAACCCCAAAGAAAATGTCTGGAAAGATTTTTTCCAGCATACTTTACTAAGCAATGCCAGGAAAAGAGGGGAAGAAATTAACTCTGTTCCCAAAGGTGATGTATTTAATTTTAGAAGAGGCATCTGACGTCTCCAAAGGTTCTGAAACTATGTTGACTTAAAGACTGAACTGTATGTTTTAAGTTGATAATCATCACATTGATAGATTACCAGGTAGCTTGACATATTAATATTTTAATAGGAATTAATTTTGGAAAGCTGTTCTTATGATGAAGAAGACTTAGTCTGAATGCAAAGATTTTTTTCTCGGAGAATGTCACACTGCATTTAATGGTGCTTAATTCCTAAGAAGTGTATATAGGATTGCAGAAGTAGAAGAAAAATAATAGTTGGGTCATATATACTGGATAAGTCAGCAACTTATCAGTATTTGCTACTCTAGGCCATGGTAGGGTGATGTTTTGTCCTCTTTACCCTTAAAACAAATCCCATTAGAAAATCTAAACATGTGCTATGAGTTGATATCTGCTCATGCCAGGTTACCTCCCTAGGGAAGCCGGCTGCATGTCATGTTGCTATGTTTCTTGGACAGCAGCATGATGGATATTTTATGCTGTATGCTACTGTGAAAACAGTGTGCTACTGTCTGCCCCATGGAAATTGCTGCAAGATCTGCAACAAATAACTGGGACTAGCTATTGCTTTAATTCCTGTGGAGAAGCATTGATAGATCTTTTGCTTGCATACTCTCACTAACAAAATGCAACATTAAACATATGAAGATTTTGCTCAAGAGTTGATTGCCCAGTACCCAGGAATGATTTTTTTCTTCTGTGCATCTGTGACACCCAAGATCTTTTACAAAAGCAATGTATTGGCAAGAAGTATTTAGAGAAACCACAAACTCCTTTTAATGGACCACCCTATTCCTTTTCTGTTCTTATAAGGATGTTTTTCCTATTCATGACTCATTTCATTCTAACATCAAGGGAAATGGAATAACGATTAAGCAAAGGAATGTATGTGTTTCTGGGTTTTGTCCCTTTCCAAAAAGCTTTATGAATTCTTGGTACAGTGTTAAGTAAATATATTGCTACAGAAGCTTTAGCAACTGTTAATAAAGTAAAAAGTATCATGCTAGTAACTTCCTTTTTAAAAAAATCCAAACCTCCCTCTCTCTCTCCGTTTAATTTGGTAGCTACTTTCAAGCCCACTAGTAGCTTAATATAAGATAGTACAGCAGCAAGTTATACAGAAGGGTTAAGTGAAATTAATGAGATCACCCTTAGCTTTCACTTCGTATTTTATTTTCACTTTATAGGTTTGTATGAGCTGCTGGCTTCATTGCCAGCCCAGCTGCAGCCACATGTGGACAGCCAGGAAGACCTGACTTTCCTCTGGGATATGTTTGGTGAAAAAAGCCTTCATTCGCTGGTAAAGGTAAACCACACTTAAATTCTTATTCTTTTTTTTTTAAAGAAACACTTATGGAAAAACATTTTGAGCAGCCTCTAGTAAACCAGGAGTCAAGCAGTTACTCAGTGAAAACAAAACAGCCTTGTTTCAACTCTCTGCTTCTGTGAGGGATGGAAGTTGTTAAAGGATTCTACCAAAAATACAGAGATGATTTCATTTAATAGTGATGTTTTGGCAGTATACATTAATGTAACAAACATATGATGTTTGCCCTTGTTTAGAATGAGGTAGCACGAAATAGTAGCAGGAAATCTGAGATTCCTTCATGGTCAACATTCAAGGCTTGGAGTTTAGCTTAAATAAACAAATGTTCACAGCAAAAATTAGATGGGATATATTTTTGAGGTAAAATATGGCAAGAGTTCAGTAGCCACATTAATTTAAAATAATTTCCTTTAACAAAGTCAACTGAAATTCTAGTAAGACTCTTTAATTGGCTTGCATCCATTGAAAATTGTGTTCAGTATATAAATATATTGAAGTCTATCATGAATAATAATCGACTTGGTAGAGTAATTCATGGATGTGTCCTGTGAAACAGTAAATATTCATGCTTCCTGTAAGTCCTAATTTGCAAAATGCTTTACAGTTTTTGTGCTCATCATTGTAATCCTGCCATTGTTAGCATTTTGCAAATTGGGAGCCAAGTTCAAGAGGCTCATGTAAAGCAAATCTTATACTTTGAACTTTTATTGAGTTCTGGGTTGAGGTCCTTGAATGGAGAGGGAAAGTTGTATGGGGTAGTGCAGAGTATCCTGGCTTCCCATGTCTGAGAGAGAAGGGTTCCTTCTCCAGGAAATGAAAAAGAGGGAGGGAGGAAAATTTCACTGGGTCCCGTGGCAGCCCTTTAAGTACAAATGGCTGCCTTCCTACTGGAAAGGATTGTAATTTGAAACATCACCAGAATAGGTCATTTTGGACTGTAGCTGGCTTCTGAATCGTTATGCAAGTTTTCATCTTGGGGTACTTATGTAGCTTCTTCATACAATCTGTATAATGGAGGTGTCTAGGGCTACATTCTTCTGGGTTGAGGGTGACTCATGGACTTCAGTTGACCCATGGAACCTTTTTATGTGGCCATTTGCCTCCTTTTTAACAGTCTCACTTGTGTCTCTTCAGCTCTGTTGCAGGTTACCAAGCATCCTTTGTCTATAGGCAAGAAAAAAGTGACAACAGTTTTCAGGTGCAACCTCCCACAGTGCAGCTGGCTGGGAGGCTAACTTTGGAGACTGTTTTCCTCTATTTTTTTCCTCTCCAGCTCTTCTGGCTTTTTCACCTTCCAAAACCAGCAGGGACCTGAAAAATAGTTCTTCATCAAGCTGGAGAGGGCAGCAAACCAGTGCCATCTCCTCATAAGAGGTCTGGCACTCGTGGTAGCCAAGGCAAGCTTAGGAAGAGAGGCAAGAGGAGTTGCCATACTTCAGTTGCTGGCTTCTGGATTTGACCATGGTTGGACTGGCCTTGCAGGTTCAGATGCAAGGACAATCCACTACTGGTTACAGGAAACAAGCCACATGGGCGGCTAACTGAGGCTCGGTTTAGATAATGCACAAAGGGCTGTCACGCTGTCCATTTTTTGCTCCCTGATGTTGTGAACATGGGTTCATCTGAAAGCTAATAAGGGTTCAGTCTTGATGATTTCATTGTTAATAATTGACAGTGAATGTGAATGTTAAACATCATGCTTCTGTATGTTTCCCTTAGAGAACAAGGAAATTAAACCAAGTTAGGTGGTCAGACTATTTACCTAGTCTTAGATGGGGACCCCAATAAGTTTTTAGTCAAAGGAATGATCATAATTTCATTTGTGCTACAGCATCAATCACTCCCAGACTGTTCACTAAATTAATGAGCTTCAATTTGAATAAGAGTATTAATCTAGTAACTGTTCAAAAAATATGTGAATGGTGTGATGGCCAGCTATCAGAACTGTTAGAAGTACAGACCATTAACTAGGGAAAGAAAAATCAATTACCATGAGATCAAGAAGGCAGGGAGGAAAAGGCATACAAATGTGAAGCATTCATATCAATTCCATAATCTATGTGGTCGTTATTTGTAAATGTTCTTGGTGCAGCATGAACGTGCAGACCATATGGAGGATCTTCCTTGCCAGATTGATAGCATTTGAAGCCAGCTTGACATGTGTAGTTTTTTGTCACTTTCTACCTTTAATTGTAACTAGAACTTGGGCCTACACAAGAGTAAGATTTTGATTCTCACTTCTCTAGTTCCTGTTCTGTTTTTGTATTTTTGCACAAATGTCTACTCAATGCATCATGCTATCTATAAAATTGGAACCTCTGTGCTCTTGTGCTGGTATGTATGAGTTGTAATCATGTGTTCACATGTTCATATTTTCTTATTTATAGCTGACATTTGTGTTAACAATTTTTAAAAAACCGGTATGTTTCAAAAGTGCGCAACTATTTGTGCAACTTTGTAGAATTTGCTTGCTGTGCAGATTTCATGATATCATTGCTATTGTCTTCAAACAGAAATCCCATCCAGCTGCCAACTTGAGTTCTTTAATGTATTTGCACTTGACATGTGGTACTTCTTCATTGTTTATTATATAATGGGCCAAACAGCTGAAAATGGTAAAACTTGTGAATTGTATTTCTATATTTCACTTATGTCTATGTACTGTAGTTGAACTTGAAAAGTGGTTGCTTGCAGATCTAATGGACTGTGTCTCTATACATCCATCTCATGGCTTCTTCACTTATTCAGAGCATTGATTGGGAAACTTCTGTGGCTGCGGAGATTTTAGTAGGAACCTTCCCCACCATTACAGTCCATCCCAGTTTGTTCCCACAGTTCTCTTTCAAACATTATTGTGGTAGTCTCACAGGGAACTTTTCTCTGTTCATCCATTTCTTCCTGAGGGAAATTAGGACATGCCGAAGCTAACTCTCTCTCCCCCACACATTTTCTCTTTCTCTTATAATTTTATTGTATTTTATAGTTTTACTGGCTTTAAAATGGCATTTAAGTTTTGAACAACTTGTAACTACCCAGATAATGAGCAACTACTTAAAAATAATTTCTACCCACTTGTTTCTCTTTTATTTGTACTGTTTGCTCTTGATCTCTGTGATCGCCAGGGGGCATATGGACCCTCAGACTGCTTTTCAGAAGTGTACCCACTGTGGTAGCAAACTCCTGCCAACAGCCAGACAGTTGTTTGCTTTCTTGTCTAGGGGAAGGCATAATGTAAAGTCAAGCTTTTACAAAGGAGGTGAAGTGCAATTGAGCTGCAGTACTACATGATGTTCTTTGGAAGAGGATTCTGGTGACAATAGAGCTTAAGATGTTGGAGATGTTGATCAACATGCATTATTAGGGCATTGTAGACCATTGTCAACTTGACAAGTGAGCTGATTGAGTCTCCTTTTCCAGCACTGTCTGAGACTGTCTGTACTGAGCCACCAACACCTGGCAGATAGTTGAAGCTTAGTGAGGTGAAAAAGCACTCCAGAAAGTGAGAGTTCATAAGATTTTTTTGGTGGGGAGACACTGAAGAAGTCTTTGGTGGACAGGCTATCCACATTCCATATATTTGACACCTGCATTAATAACCCTGCTTCTGACACTGCCAGTACTTCCTCTGTCTGTTGTGATTTCAGTTCCAGTGCAACTGCCAACAACATCAGAACCGACACCAAAGGTTGTTCTCAGAGAAAGCTCTTGAGTACTGGACTTCAACACTGAAGAGTGAAATTTGAGATGCTTCTCTGTTGCCAGAATTCAGCCTTCATATATTCAGAGAATTAGATCACCCTTGCATCACAGAGGATGCTGCCCATCTCCTTGAGGTTATTTGGATTCTGGGTATTACAGGGATCATAGGTTATACTGGCAAAACCAAAGCTCCTGCTATCTGTGATGTCCAAGTCCAATTGTGATAATTGGATTTGGACTCAGGCATATATATCACTTAGAGTAGTGGTTTTCAACCTTGCCATAATTTGAAACCAGCAAAAACAGGAGAACCACCTCAGGGACCACTGACACAGAAACAAAAAAGCACCATACACATAATACAGTATTCTGGGTATTAGTTTCCGAACACAACCAAAAAAAGACCCCTCCCCCCCAAAACAACCTCCAAAACAACCAGAAGCCAAGCAACAAAAATGCTAACAAAAGAACAAAATACTGAAATTGGCACAGCGTGGCTCCCACCAAGCTGTCTCTCCCCTCCCCACCCCCCTGCAACACTGGTGCACCCCCCCCCCACAAGTGTGATGCCAACTGAGGAAGAGGCAGTGGAGCACAACTAGCCCCCATTCTGGTCCTTGGCAAGCGGGATGTGCCCCCCCCAGACCTGCAGGAAATCTGCAGATGGAGAAAACCACAGACTTAGAGGACCAATACTGGAATTATGATAGTCTTGGGATGAATGATCCTTATATCCTCAAGCTCACTACCATCCAGTAGTCTTGACAACCACATCAAGAACAGGCATTTTTTTGCCCCTCTGATGCTGTCCTTAGTTATGGCACTTTCTCTCATGATGCCATCAGCACAATTTGTAGAGGTGATAACAAATAACAGTTCCCACAATAATTACCATGACAAATTTCCAGATGTGGGAGATGAGATCCATATTAGGATATCTTCTTGAGGATAAACGTGGGTATTTAAAATCTTCAATGGAGAAACTGTGTGCTTGCCTTTTCAAGAAATTAATAGCTTCAGTATCAGTTGGTGATGCTAAGGATATGTTGACTTCCATAACAGTAAGACGACATGCTTGGCTTAGGTCTGTGGAGCTTTTGCAGGAAGCTCAAATCCGGTACTAATGAGCTTCATTTTGATGTGGAAGGACTGTTTACTTTGAAGAAGATGAGACAATGAATTCAGTGCAGTAGGATTCCATGCAGAAATACCCTCATATGGGGTTTGGTCCACAATCTTTTACTTTCGATCAATGTCAGTAGTTCCAACAGCTGTCTTAC